TATTTTATTTATTTATTTATTTATTTATTTATTTATTTATTTATTTATTTATTTATTTATTTATTTGTTCGATTTATATCCCGCCCATCTGGTATATTCTACCACTCTGGGTGGCTATAATATAATATAATAACATTTGTTTAAAAAATAAACCAAATGAAATTCTCAGCCACCTGCACCAAACAAATAGGATGGATACAGCTTTTCCCAATTTGGAGCAAACCATGTAATACCCAATTCCCAAGGCAACCCAAGCTGGCTGTACTCACAGGAGGCATAGTGGGGAATCAAGCTCTCAACCTTTGCCACCACAGAACCCTCTGCTGGATGGGTAAATCTGGCAGTTTTGCTTTCTTCCTTATCTGAAATTTTAATCTAGAATTTTGTTGAGTCTTTAAAAAATGTAAAGGTCATGTAAAAGAACTGAAGCAACCCAAATTCCCACCCATACTTATTAAGAAACTGAACTACAAATCAGGAAGTGTCATACCATGGAGTCTTAGCTAAGCCATTCTCAGCTTCAGCCCCTTTGACCGTTTTGCAATGGAGGGAAGAATGCTAATTTATCTAACAGGAATACTGTGTTGACTCCCAAAGTACTGTACAAATGCTAACAATATTTAACATGTGTATTTTTAAATCACTTGAGAGCCGTTTCATGGAATTTTCTTGGCAGAATTTTTTGCAAGGTAGGTTGTCAGGTCTTTCCTTAACCCTCCCCATTCACTGTGAAGAAGTGAGAAGATTGAATGCTGACTTCCAAAGGGACCAAGGAAAGATAGCAAAGTTTACTGGGAGAGACGTTGCAAACAATTAGAAGAAGACGGTGCAAAAGGACACACTAGGAATACATTTGCATAAATTAAAAAGATTTGAGTACCATTCATGGCTCACAAACATGTCATCAAGGATAAGCAAGGGAAAGAATTGTCCAACCAGCAAGGTGTCAAGAACAGATGGTGAGGATATGTGGCAGAACTGTATGCCACCAGCAAAGAGGGGCAACATCAAACTAAGGAGGGGAAGGAAATAGAATCAGAATCATGTATATTTGATGAAGAGGCCATATGGGCAATAAACCAACTGCCAAATAGCAAAGCCCCAGGAGTTGATAACATAGCAGTAAAATTGCCGAAGTCAGTAACAATGGCATCAAAGTCTCGTGCCAGAAAATTTGGGAAACCAACACATGGCCACAAAACTGGAAATAGTATTTATTCTGTTACAAAAAAAGGGCTTTCAAGGGATTGTTCCAACTACTGCATGATTGCTCTTATCTATCATGATAGTAAGATCTTACTGAAAATTATACAACAGTGCTTGACACCAATCATCGAAAGGGAATTGCTAGATGTCTAAGTTGGTTTCCGTCAGGGTCATGCCGCCCATGATCACATTACAAATGTTCAATGAATAATGGGAAAATGTTATGAATATCAAAGAACGTCTACATGTGCTTCATTGACTATAGGAAATCTTTTGGCTATGTTGATCTTGGCAAACTATGGAGAACCCTAGAAGATCTTGAGGTGCCACTACATTTGGTGAAGTTGGGGAAATCATTGCATGAAAATCAGGAAGCCACTGTACAAACTCAGTATGGCAACACTGACTGGTTTAAGATTGAGAGAGGTGTGTGGCAAGGTTGCATCATGCCACCATTCTTATTTAACTGAGTCATTCCTTTGTACTTCGGTACATTACTTCATCTACTTTTTCTAAAATGTAATGCTAAGACCCTAACTTGTAATACACAAAAGTTGGGTGGATTTATTTATAAACCTCAGTGAGGGTGGTGTTCCTGTTCTATTTGAAATCTGTTTAAAACTAGAGTTCTATTTCATGTTGCAGACTTACGCAAATTACTGGTATTACTTATGGCTGATATTTATTTTTAATCAATCAGTGCTTAAATAGCTTGTAGTTTTTAATCTGGGAATTCTTTGTGTTCACATGTACAGAGCTTGCCTGCTTATGATACCCCTGAAGTATTTGGACTGCATCCCAATGCAGACATTACTTACCAGAGCAAGCTTGCAAAAGATGTGCTCGACACCATTCTCAGCATCCAGCCAAAAGACAGCTCCAGTGGAGGAGGTGAGACCAGAGAGGCTGTGGTGGCTAGGCTGGCTGATGATATGCTGGAGAAGCTTCCTGCAGACTACATGCCATTTGAGGTCAGTTAGTGAAATCTTCACCATAGGAGGAAGTGGAGGCCTGCTTGCTTCACCAGCATGTATACTAATATTTGATACAAAGAAGATTAGCATGGTTGTCTGTGCAAGGATGATATTTGTGAAGCATTCCATATTTTTGGAATGTACTATTAATGATAAATGAACATCTAATATGAAAATTAAGAAGGACTTGGTACATGACAATTTTTTCATTGGTTTATGGGGAGATTTTATTGAGTGTTAAAAGGGGTGGGTGGGCGAAGGGTTCCATGCCTTCACAAGAATGAGCGGAGTTTTGCAAGGGAAACGTAACATCATAAAGAAGGAAAATTGATTATATCTCCAGATGGTCCTAGTGTGTACGTGTGTGTGGATGTGTGGACACACTTGTATTATTGTGCTGATTTTGTGTTTAAGTTTGAAAGTCTTTTTATGCAGTTGTGTTACATTTTGTTTAATATTTAAAAATTATACAAGAAGAAATTGGTGGCAATTGATTATTTTTTAAAACTTGTTCAGCTGAAGCAAAACTTTTGTCTTTTTTTTTTTTAATTAAAATACCATTTACTGTATATATCAGTAACCTAAATAAGTGAGGAATTAGTTTTAGCACCAAAATAGATCAGGTTCAGTGTGGGCTTGAAAATGTGGCTTGCCCAGTCTAAAGTGGTTGGGTTTTTTTAAAAAATTCATATGCAATAAGAAAAAGGTAAAGCATACATAGCATAATTTAATTAGTCTAGGACTTCAATTTGGAGTAAACTCCCAGGAGCCTGCACCACTAACTGTGCTGGCCAGGATTTCTAGGGGACCCAAGGTTGGAAACCACTGATCTAGAGGATTATAGCCATAGGGGGACAGTTTGATTCTCTCAGGTAAACGCTAAATTATACTTATTTTTTCCTCTCTCCCTCATAAACCTTCTTTCTCGTCCAAACCAGATGTAGTGAATGTATTCCTCAATCTTAAAGCCAATCTGTCATCTGCATTTTGCATTCTAGTGAGATTTATTTTATAACTGAGGTTAAACACTGTCTCAGTTTGCATGTCACTGCTGAGGTACACAACTCTATAGAAATCCCATTGTTAGATGGAGAATGGGTTGATTTGAGGGAGTATCCTTTCTCTTAACATTTCCTTTGACCCTCGGTTTTCTGGGGGAGATCAAAGCTACATTCAGCCATCACTTCCTTTTGAACAATTCTATCCTTCATCCCCTTCTCTAGAGATAGAACTTTGTTAGTTAGTATGCTGGTTATGTCTACAGTCTGAAAGCTTTCAGTTCTTTATATTCACCTATTTTATTTTTGTGTCAGGTTAAGGAAAGGCTTCAGCAGATGGGTCCGTTCCAGCCGATGAATATCTTCCTCCGACAGGAGATCGATAGAATGCAAAGGATTATTGCCCTGGTGCGAAATACTTTGACAGATCTAAAACTAGCCATTGATGGAACCATCATTATGAGTGAGAATCTCAGAGACGCTTTGGACTGTATGTACGATGCAAGGATTCCTGAACGTTGGAGGAAGGTTGGTATTGTTTCTTCTACTGAATGAAAAAATGTAGTGCTCAATAATCTGCATTTTGAACTGTATATTCAGCATTCAGCTGACAATATCCAAATATACACAAAGGCTTCTGAAACAGTGATTCTTTGTAGCTGAAGACCAAGTCTCTTATGTGACCTGAATGGCACTCTTTCAGATCATGCCATGCTTGTAAAATTTGAAGGTCCTAGACCAAATGAAAAAGGTTTCAGATGTGGTTCATTCTCTACTTCATTCTTCACTGATCAGTTCAATATGGATTGCATTTGTTGACATTAAAAATAAATTGAACTTCTTATAGGAAAAGCCTAAGTGCCTAAACCCAACTGTCTAAACCTTGTTGGCATGAGCTGCTAAGGCTATGTTTGATTGCTTCTGAATAGTTTCTGAATGCATGGAATGCCTTTACATTGTTCAGTCAATCATCCTCTTCATGAAGGCAGTGACAAGGGATGGGGTGGGGCTTCCTGTCCTCACATGCTCAAATTAACTATGCTGAGCACAGTCTTGCCATGTAAAGTGCAGGTGCAGTGAACCAAATCCAGCTATTATTGGGACTGTAGCTTTGATCAAGAGTTGCTCTCTGCTTATCCTACCATCCCCAAGCTATGGTCATTATTGCAGTTTTTCAAACTGTCCCTCTTTCGGTCCTGAAAAATGTTATCATCTATATATATACTCTTTGGGGTATTGTAGAAAGTTGGACAAAGCTGAGGTTGTTAAGAAAACTTTTTTTAAAAAACTAATCTCCTTTTCTAGGCATCTTGGGCTTCCAGCACCCTTGGATTCTGGTTTACTGAACTTCTGGAAAGGAACCGACAATTTCACTGTTGGATTTTTGAGGGGCGGCCAAACTGCTTTTGGATGACAGGGTTCTTCAACCCCCAAGGATTTTTAACTGCAATGAGACAGGTTATTGAATGCTCTTAAAACATGTTTTCTATGCATTTCCTGCTTTCAGTCACCATCTGAAGTGAATGGTAGAGGAGATGGTTTCTGTTCTTATGTAAATAACTTTCAGTCATTTTTTTCAATTAGAAGGAAGTGGAGATCCTGCAGAATTCATGATTTATTTTGGCTTCTACAATATCAACTAACTCCTCCTTTTATTTTTTTGTACGTAGCTGACAGCTACAAAATAGATTTTATTTTGCCGTTGTTGGTGGGTTTTTTTTTTTTCGTCCTCTGGTCTTCTAGACTAGAGGTCTAGCAGAGAAACAAGTTATGTTAATTAATTAATTTATTTTCTTCGGTTAATTTAGTTTAAGTATTACCTTCTGTAAGACCTGCATGATTATCAGATGTATGTTTTCAAAGGTTCCAGCAACAATTATGTATTGTCTAAGCAAATACTATTGGCCTTAAAATTATGAGATTTTCTTCATATTCTTGACCACCACAAACAGACCCCATGCAGCCACACTATTCAAATTTTCCCAGTGTGGATATTTTCAGTGTGTGACTAGCTGGGGGACATCTTCCTGTCTGGTCCCTTCCTAAAACTCTGAACCATTCTGATTCCTGAGTGCTCCACGGAATACCAAGACTCACAAGGGTGCACACTTAACTTGTACACTAAACTTGCTAGGTAGGAAAACCAAAAAGTACTTGCAAATACAAAGGGACCCAGTAGTTGCCTGTAGTAAGACCTGGATTTAATACCAACAAAACACTTCCCCCAAAACAGCTGTGAATACTTCATTATTTTATTGAGGGTGTTGTCTAAAGTCTAAAGTTTCAAAACCCAATTCAAAAGTCCAAAGGCAGTTAAAATACCCTGTAAAGCCAATACTTATTCTAGAAGCTAAGAGACTAGGGCAATTCTAGTATAGCTCCCAGAGAAAATTATAAAGCTAACTATGCACTATGAATATCTACATAGCATAGTTCCAGAGCATATACAGAATGGAGACTGAATAGTAAAGAGCATAATTGTCTCCTAAGAGAAACTAAGCCCAATTAACTAATTTCTCCATACCATTTTTATAGCCATCAACCACCTTTCCAGAACTTTTGAGGGTAGTCCACCAATCAGATTCTCAGTTACCCCAAATCTCCCAGAAGGGAGTAACTTTTCTTCTAAATAATTTCACTTATCTGGCTGTTTCCCCTCCCTTCAGCTTCGTCAGAAGTGCATTTAACACTGTTCCCTGACCTAAGAAAAAAAAGAAAAAATATCCCCCTCTAGTGGCAGAAGGCGGAATAGCAGCTTCCCATTAGTTTCTATGGACGGAAAAGAGCAGATACGGATTAAATGGTTTTCAATGCATTCCTATGGGAAATGCAGATTCTACATAAGAACTTTTCCACTTGAGAACCACCTTCCAATACGGATTAAGTTCTTAAGTAGAGACCCCACTGTAAATAATTTCACTGGCTGTTTTCCCTCCCTTCATTTCAGCTGAAGCCGGCTTCATTTATAGTACCAGGCAAAGAAATGTTCTGATCTTGCTTCCCACCAGATATCACTCATTTGCGACTTGTCTTCTAATTAATGGATAGTTGTTCACCCTTCTTTGCCTTTCCTCTGGCACAAATCAACAGGCCTACATTTTACAAGGGAATTGAAACTCATTAACCCTTCTTTTGCAAGTTTTTCAACAAGTACTTTTCTGCACCATCCAGATTGTCAGCTGGTAATACTGTATCATATATATGTCATATGATGTTGAAAACATCTCCCTTGACAGTTTTACAATCAGTGTTTCAGATAAAATCATTGAATTTAAAGATATTCTTAAGGTACAGATTGAAAAGGAGAGGTGAAAGTGTACATATCATAATATTCATATCTTTTTGTGCTCAGTTGTTTGATCTTCAACTTTCATTTTAGCTTTGGTTGCTAGTACAGGTGGCAAGTTATACAAATATCTTGTGAATCAAACTTTTGTGTGCCAGCAGGTTCGGGATTGTTAAAGGTTTTCTCAAAGTCAATAAACAAGCATATAGAGCCACACGAATGTCATTGCATGTCTCCCTAGTGCATGTAGGCCTTACGGTGTTTCCTTGGTTCTAAATCCTCCCCTGAATTTTGTGTCTCCTCCTCTTTTTAATTGTTTTCTCTAAATTCTGCTCAACAGTTTTATGAAAAGTGTAAGCAAATGGCTCATCAAACTTAGTATTCTGTAGTTACTACTTTAGCATTTCCCCTTTGAATAATATAGTGAATTTCAACCCCAGACCAATTTCAGGAGTGACTCCTGCTCTTAGAATGACTTGAAAAGTTTCTCTGAAACGTCAAACTCACAATTTTCTGTTAGTTTTACCACATCTCTGAAAATATCACCAAGTCCAGGACCTTTGCAGGGTTTTTTAAATGAGCCACAGTGCATCTCATATTTCTGTGTATGCAGGCCAATAAGCAGCTCTTCAGTGTATTCACCCTGCACTACGATTCTCCTATTAACATCTGGAAAATAAATTCTGTTTGTCTGATACTTTCAAAAAGCAATGTACCATTCCATGCCATGATTTTATCTCTGACAAGGATCAGAGAACTGTCTGTCAGCACTGGGAAGTATACACTAAAATAGACATTGATCTTCTCTCGCCTTTCTGTTCCTGTACGTTGCTTGGACTACGTTTTTCCCTTGGTCTACCTAATCTTCCTTGGTCTTTGTATCATCCTAATTTTTAGATGTTCTTGTGCAATTCTTTTTATTTGATGGCACATCTATTCTTCCTTTATCACCTTTCTTTCATTTGTTCTGATATCTCCTCTGACACTCACCTTTCACCCTTTCCAGCTCAATTTTGAGATCATTGCCTTCTAGTACTTTTATCAATTTAGAGCAACTTGTATTTATGTCTCAGTTTATCTGAGTGTATGATCCTATTGTTTCCTTCATGAATCCATCTCCTTAATGTCAGTCTATGCAGTTAGAGCTCTTAATTGTTTACATTTATGCTTTTCTAGTTTTAGTTCTCTAAAATTTCTTTAATTTGAGGCAAACTACCACAGTGACAGGATAATGATCTGAATTTATGTCAGTTCTGTTTCACCACCTTAATGCTATTTTGATACCTCTAGGATGTAATTTCTTCGGTTCCTCACAAAATGTTGTTTGTACTGCCTGGAGGGGATTTCCATGTATTCATGGAAATGGACAATGAGCAGTGAGATAAAAATGATTTATTGGAACCTGAACACTTCGGCATGCCTCAGGGTCAAAAAGAGAAATGCATGTACATGAACAGAACTGTACTTGGATATAATGACAGTTCTGTGGTTTATTCTGAAGTTATATAATGATTAGCTCCTTGTCTAATGGACTCCAGGTTTGTAAACTTTAATTACTCCATTGCTTTGTGCAGGAAATAACTCGAGCAAACAAAGGATGGGCCCTTGACAGTGTAGTTTTATGCAATGAAGTCACCAAGTGGATGAAGGATGATATCACCACTCCTCCTTCTGAAGGTGTTTATGTATATGGCCTCTACCTTGAAGGAGCTGGCTGGGACAAAAGGAACTTGAAACTCATAGAATCAAAACCTAAGGTGCTCTTTGAACCAATGCCTGTGATAAGGATATATGCAGAAAACAACAGTAAGTATCGCATTGATGATGATGATTATTTATTTGTTTGTTTGTTTGTTTATTTATTTATTTATTGTATTTATACCCTGCCTATCTAGTCATTTTGACCACTCTAGGGGGCTTACAACATAAAGGATAACAAGTTCAAGAAAAATTTATAACAATTAATTAATTAAATGATTCTGCAATGGGAAAAATACAAAATAATTCAAATAAAGAGAAAAAGAATAAAAGGGGAAAGAGGACGGGAATTAACTGGAAGGGAAGGCCTGCCTATACATCCACATTTTTAGTTGGTTCTTAAAAGTACCCAGCGAGGGTGCAGCGCAAATCTCCAGAGGTAGGTTATTCCAGAGGCGAGGAGCCACCGCCGAGAAGGCCTGGTTTCTAGTTCTTTCCTTCCGGGCCTTCCTCGGTGTCAGGCTCCTCAGCCTCACCTCCTGGCTCACGCGGGTGACATGGGTAGAACTAGGTGGGAGTAAGCATTCCGCCAAGTAGGGCTTTATATGTAAGCATTAACACTTTGAAGTCAATGCAGAAACATATGGGCAGCCAGTGCAGCATGGCCAGAGTAGGAGAGATATGTTGGTATTTTCTCACTCCAATAAGGAGCATTCTGCACCACTTGAAGTTTCCGCATCAGCTTCAAAGGAAGCCCCACGTAGAGTGTGTTACAGTAGTCTAATCTAGAAATTAAGAGTGCATGTACTAAGGTAGTGAGCACCCCTGTGTCTAGGTAAGGTCGCAGCTGGGCAATCCACCAAAGGTGGAAAAAGGCGGTGCAGACTACCGACGCCTCCTGCGTTTCCATGGTGAGCATCGGGTCCAGGTGTACCCCCAGGCTGCGGACCCCACTCTTCGCGGCTAGGGCCACCCCCCCCAAACATGAGGGAGTTTCCCAAGCCACCATCCACAGGGCCACCCACCCTCAGAACTTCCATCTTGTCCGGGTTCAGCCTCAGCCCGTTCTCCTGCATCCATTGCTGTACAGCCCCCAGGCAGCGCTGGAGGGACAGGACGGCATCACCTGCAGTTGGTGAAAGGAAATATAGAGCTGGGTGTCATCAGCATATTGATGACACGATGCTCCACACCCTGATGACTCCACCCAGCGGCCTCATATAGATGTTAAACAGCATTGGGGAGATGATTGACCCCAGTGGAACCCCATAATTGAGATTCCATGAGGCCGAAATACTCTCCCCAAGCTGCACTCTCTGGGGGCGATCGTCCAAGAAGGAACGGAACCAGGCCAGAGCCAAGCCACCAATATCCAACTCAGAGAGCCTCCCCAGGAGGATACTGTGGTCGACGGTATCGAAGGGCGCCAAAATGTCGAGGAGGACCAACAAAGAAATTTTACCACTGTTGGCCTCCCTCAACAAGTCATCGTACAGGGCAACCAATGTCATCTCTGTACCGTGGCATGGCCTGAAGCCCGACTGAAAAGGATCCAGGGCATCTGTTTCATCCAGATGTGCCTGAAGCTGGTCAGCCACCACCCTCTCGACCACTTTGCTCATGAAAGAAATATTGGTGACGAGCTTATAATTGCCAATTTCGTCCACCACCAAATTAGGTTTCTTTCTTATGGGCCTAATGAGTGTCTCCTTGAGGGCAGAGGGAAACCTGCCCTCAAGGAAAGACCCATTTATTATTGCAGTGGCCCATTTTGTTGTTATCGGCCTTGCTGCTTTGATTAGCCAGGCCGGGCAAGGGTCCAAGGAGGAGGTGGTGGCTCGACAGCGGTCAAGCACTCTGGCCACAGAATCAGGTGTGGCAGGCTGAAAGGAGTCAAGGGTTACCGGGCAAGACGGAGCGCTGGACATCTCTGCTCAACTCTCTGTGTTCAGAAAAGGAGAGAGGTCCCGTCGAATGGCCTCCACTTTAGATTTTTAAAAAGGCTGCAAACTGGTCAAGTGAAAAACTAGGGGGAGGCCTATCATTCAGACCACTTCCGGATAGGTCACACACTATACAAAATAATATATACGGATTATGGGTAGACTTGAATGTATCAGGTAGAATGTATAAAAATTCTACAATTTTTGTAGGAAAATAGAAAAACTCCACAAAGTAGTTATGTGATTCACAGTTAGAAGTAGAAATCTGAGTTCAACAATGTTTTTATTGGATTATTGAAAATGGGACAAGCATGGTAAGGTTTTGAGGTTTCCAGCTCTTAATCTTTTCTTAGATGCTACAACGGTTGGGAAACTGAAGAAGAAGCAAAGTGTTCAAATATTTGGTCAGATGTACAGAGTGCTGTTTTTGCAGGCTGATTGACTTGCAAGGTGGAGGTTGCAGAGTCAGTAGAGAAGAAAGATGTATCATTTCCCAGTCTCTCCTCCCTCTGCAGACAAAAGGCTTGCAAACCTCCTGGGAGATCTGCCTTGAATGAGATATGCAGTCCTCTAGATTGGCTAAGAGAGCAACTATGGAAGAATATTCTTTATGCCAGAATAGCAGGATTACTGTATTTTTTGCTCCATAAGACACACCTCTCCATAAGACGCACCACATTTTTAGGAGAAGAAAACAGGAAAAAAATAAATTGTTTTATTCTCCTAAAAATTTGGTGAGCCTTATGGAGAGGTCCATCTTATGGAACACACCCTAGGACCCTTTGGAGGCTCAGCCAGCCTCCCCCGGAGGCCAGAGGGGGTGAAATCGCCACGTTCAGGGACTCTTCTGAAGCTTCCCAAGCCTCAAAAAAGTCGCAGAAGGTGGGTATTTCGCCCGCGCTGGCCCCGTGAGGGGGTGAGTGGAGCATCACAAGGGTCCGAGTGAGCCTTCCAGGACCCTTGCAACACTCCCCCACCCCCCATGGGGCCAGCATGGGTGAAATCACTAGCTTCCAGGACCTTTTGTGAGGCTTGAAAGCCTCACAAAAGGTCCTGGAAGGTCATGATTTTGGCCCCATGGGGGGTGGGGTAGCGTCACAAGGGTCCTGGAAGGCTCACTCAGAACCTTGGGAGGCTCCCCCCCATGGGGCCAGTGGGGGCAAAATCGCCACCTTTGCTCCATAAGACGCACAGACTTTCCCCCTCACTTTTTTGGGGGGGGAGTGCGTCTTATGGAGCAAAAATACAGTAAATTTGGGTATTGCACTGGATGTTGCAAATCAGTCTGCCTACAGCCAACTACTGCATCTGGCCAGGTTTTCTTATTTTTTTCTTTTCCAGTTGCCTAAATTGTGAACCATATTAAGTCCAATCACAAGTTTTGGAGCACTTGAAAGCTCATCATGTTTGTAATATTTTGATGATCCAAGAAGGATATTAGACAAACCAGGACACAGTTTCTGTGACGTTGGGGAAAATCCTGCTGCTTAATTTAGTGAATCACACTGGAGCAGTTCACTGAGTCCATGGAGATTTGGTGAATCAACAAGTTCCATTGAATCAAATGGACGTACTCTAACTGTAACATACTATGTTAAGCAACAGGATTTCTGTAGTCTCACTTATCATCACATTCACATTCATTAGTGTGGATACTTTTTAGTTAAATAGAAATAACTGCTGACTTAAACCATAGAGGACAAGTACAGATTGATTGATTGATTTATTGATTGATTGAGACTTAAACCATAGAGGACAAGTACAGATTGATTGATTGATTGATTGATTGATTGATTGATTGATTGATTGATTGATTGATTGATTGATTGATTATCCCACCTTTCTCCTTAAAAGGACCCAGGGATGTAAATCTTCATTTATTTTGATCTCTCAGGTGAGGAAAAAAAACACAGTTTTTAAATGTTTCACCTGGCTGAGTAAGAGGTTGAAGGTTTTTATGGATTTTTTAAATAAAAACTATCTTTGGGAACTTTTTTGTGGGGAATTTTTGTCCTTTTGTACAACAACCACCATAGTTGGTGACACTACAGATGGATGAAGGTTTCTGGTCTTTTTATTATCATGGCGGAAGGAAAGTTTTTTACAGCAACTGACAAATTTTTAAAGCATATTTTTCAAACATAGGAATTGCAAGTATTTGTTGCATCTTTATTTAGGAAGTGACTAGAAATGTGAATACTTCCTAAATTCCTTGTTTTGGACTATCTGGACAGGATGAGAAACCTTGTTATTAATTTGAAAACCCCATGGAATTTCTCACATTCTGCCAAGAGCAAGACAAAGCACTCTTTTTTCTCTTAAGATTGCCATAATTTGGGCAAAGTGCATCTGTGCAAAACGTATGATCTTTCCCCCAAAACACAGAAGACCTGTGTGATTAAGAAGTGTGCAAATAACTATTCAATCCCATACATTTTTTAATGTCTGCACAGCAAAGCTAGTTCTGTGCAATTTACACAATTTATGCAAATTGTGTGCAAATTATGTAATTAAAAAATTATGTAATTTGCATGAAACACCTTAATTGTGTGCAAATTATGTAATTAAAAAACCCTTGGTAATTTGCATGCAACACCTTTTCTGCTATTGTGAGAACTATCTTGCAGTACATTTATGTTCCTCACAGCCTTTGCCCTCCCAACCCTGGAATAAAGACGTGAGATAAGAATTATGGATTAAAACATGGGCTACACTTTATTAATCATAATCAATATTGCCATCCTTTGGCAAAGGGGGGCACCCTAGTGTAGAATCAGGGTAAACTGTAGGGGTCTCAAAGGCCCCCTTAAGCAACAAATGGGCGAGTCCCTGGCCCCAAGTTCTTGCGGTCTTAAAAGACAGTGAGAACCCGGCTGGCCGCAATTTGACAACCTGCAGACCTCAAACCAGCTTCTCTTTGTTGACTGTTGGTCTGGTTGTGCATCTCCCTCCCCAAGCACTGTAATCACATGATCCACAGTGCTGGGAGGTCAGATGGGCTATAGCTTACCTGAGTTTGTAATGGGACTCACCAGAAAACCTGTTATATCTGCACTACTTGCCACAGCATAGGGACAAGCCTATCAAGCTCAGCAAGCAGCCCCCCCTTGATATCTTCAAGGAAGAAATCCAAACCCAAATTGGACAGATGTACACCATCGTTCC